TGTCTGTCTCATCGGTGGGAGAGCTGTCATGTTCCTTCACTGGAAGTGATGCTGGCGTCTCTGTGCTGAATAATGAGGAACCTGTTGGAACTGTTGTGAGTTTGCTGGAGGTGTCCGTTGTCAGTTCACTTGAACTCTTATCATCTGTTGTTGGGAATGTAGTCCTTTCCTCTGGTGTTATTGAATCATCCTCCGACTTACTTGTGGTGACAGTATCTTGTCGTGGTGACACTGATGTTGGTCTCTCAGTTGTGTAGAGAGATGAAGCTGCAGTGATGGCTGTTTCAGAAACATCTTTGCCAGTTGTGGTTGAGACATGAACCGGTTCAAATTGTGTTGTCCCTTGGACTGCTTTTTCTGTGCTAAGTATTGAAGGTGTTATTGTAGCTTCTGTTGACATTGTACCTGATGTCTGGCCATCTGCACTCTCTTCAGCAGTGCTAGGATGCAATGAAACTGTCTCTGTAAGATTCACTGTTGAAGACTGTGGTTGAGTCGTGTCCTGAGCTACACTTGACCATTTCACAGTTGAAACTGACAGCAAACCAGACATATCTGTGACACCAGTGACAGTTTCTTCACCTGAATCCCGTTTCTCATCAAGCAATTCAGTAATCACTGACGCACTTGGTGATGAGTACTGGCTGAAAAATTCAGTAAATGAGGCCACTGTAGTCTTAATAATTTCAATAGCACTGTGCAATGGAGAATCAGTTTTTGCAATGGATTCAGAGGAAGGAGTTGTCTCATCTTCATGTAGAGTGGAAGGTGTGGAAGTTTTTTCCATCACACCTGTGGCAGGAGTAGATGCTTTATCTGTGCCAGCTGTTTGTATTGTTTGAGATGTTAATTCACTCTCCTGTGGAATGTGATCTTTTGTATCTGTAGGGCCTAAACTTGAAGATAATGTTGACGTCAGTGAAGAGCTAATGGACTGTGGGCTGGTTGTAAACAAGTTTACTGTTTGGACCGCTGAGCTGTCTTCCTCGGGTGTAGACATTGCATCAGGTGAGATGGAAGGTATTTGACTGACTGTACTCCCTCCCTGACTTGTGAGTCTACCCTCTGAAGTTTCAGCTCGAGTAGGTGCTGCAGATGCTGATGATTCGGTGCTGCCTATGTCTACAGCTGGTGTTGTCTCAGTCTTGGCTATCTCTTCAGGAGAGGCTGAACCGCTAAATACTGAAGGAGTCGTTGTGCTGAAGGCAAATTCTTTTGGGGTTTGGACCTCTTTCCCTCCCTTTACATCTTGAGTGAAGCCTTGTGAGTCACTAGTTGATGTTGGTGTTTTCCCATCAGCGTCATCAGGCGAGGGAGTATACACAGTCTGTAATGTAGACTGAGTGCTGTCTTCAGCAGCTGGAGTGGCAGATGTGCTTTTTGTTTCCGCTGTGGTTTCAGCCTTATCTCTGACTGTGTAAAGTTCAGTTGAAGCGGCAACAGGGGATTTATCTTCAGGTTTCTCACTCGGAGTTATTTCTGAGTCACTTTTCACATACGTGGGAGTCCTCCCTGACTCACCCACCTCTTCTAGTACAGACGTGGTGCTGACAGAAGTTACCATATGAGGCTTTGTTGTTTGGGTTTCCTCAGTTCCTTTGGTGATCTGTGGCCCAGCTGGAGTTATTGTAGGACCAAAGTCAGTGGTATCTGTGGCAGCTGGGGCTGCTTCAGTTTTCTGTGTACTTTTTGAGGGAGCCTTGTCCTCCACTGTTGAAGCTAGAGCTGAGGTTACGTCTTTGTGTGACGGGCCTTTTGTGGTCAGCTCATCCTTAATGTGTGGAGGAGTTGACTCCACTATTGGGATTATATCGGGGTCATATTCATCAACATCTGGGATCTCTGTAGAGGTTAGTGTTGCTGTGGGCTCCTCTGTAGATTCAGTGGAGCTACCACCAGGGACATCGGTCCAACGATAATCGAACACTGTATTTATTTCATCACTAGCTCCGAGAGTTGTCACATTTGTCATTATCTCAGTACCTTTGGCCTCTTTTTCCTCAGGGCTCTGTGGCTCCAGTGTGATCTCCTGTTTACCATTTATAAAGCTGACAGTTGGAGTGATGGTTACAGTGGCTGAAGGGAACGGGTCTGGGTCTCCACTCTGCAGGATCGGCTCACCATCGGCGATGGAGGGGGTGGGGTGGTCAGGCACAACTGGTATTGCAGGAGATTTAGAATCTTGTGGCTGTAGAGCCTGATCAACTGCAAGAAGAAAAAGAAAAATAAGAGCAATTTGTGACAATTTGATTGCAAAGCAACTCAACTTATAACTTGTACATTTAAGATAAGCAAAGATTATTTGCAATTCATTTCTAAACTCCAGGAAGTAGTAGGTATGACATAGGTATGACACACGATATGTAGTTACACTATTACTGTTTTTACTGTTAGTGGAAAATCACCAAAATACATCACATCCAAAATGTGATGAGCATGTAAAGCTTGGGGAAGGAAAATGTACATGTTAATTTTATTGGGGAACTGCACCCTGATTCTATACAGTCAATTTAGTTTACTTGTTACAGTACTCTGGTGGTTCTGGTGATACCTTTGTCATGTCTAAGAAAGCAACCCTAGTGATGTCACCAGTTTTATCTCAGGTTAGTTTAGAAGACTTTTTTTAAAATTAACTTATTATTATTATTTAAACAAACAGCCAGGGTTACAAAGAGTATGGAGTGTGAAAGATGTGTTGCATGAAGGATGTAGGATTTATTGTAAGTGCAATAATAAATCCAATATTTTGTCATGCCCCTTTAAACAGTCAAAATATAATACTTAGAACTGATCACATTGTGCCTTTTAAGTTGTAGTACATTGACGACTTTTAGAGTATATCAGTCAATTCTGCATTCTCCAATTTCTGGATTTTTTTTCAATCCAGCTCTATGGACTGAGCCAGTCTTACAAACATCTATGCTGAAAGTGTCTACACACTTCTGAAGCCCAGCGTGTGAACTGCTTTTTGCAAATGCTATCAAGTAAATTTAATTTTTTTTTAAATGCATTTCTTTTCATCTCAGTAACAAAGCCTTCACAGTTCCACAAAATACTGCTTTTACACCAACAAAGCACCGAATAAACAAACATTGCAAAACACGGCAAATAAATCTCTCCCTGACATATTTATAAGCCTTGGCCAAGTTGGTGCCTAAATTTCATCCAAACCATAATTCCATGATTTATATTCTAAATTGCTGTGAAAAGAAAACACTGTCAGGAGGTCACTTGACCATAGACAAGCCCTTCAACAAAGTTAACAAAGTGTTCATTCACTGATGTAGTGAATAATAAATAAATGACATGGGATGTAAATGGCCCTGTCTTCCCTGAGAAAGGGATGGCAGATGGATCACAGAAAATATTAACTATAGTATACTCATTTGTCAACAACAACTACGGCCTATGAAATACGTCATTATCGTGCTTTGTCCAGACATCTGCCAACATATTTCAACGCATATGGGATGCAACACATAAAAACCTTATCATATAATATAATCCAAAACAATATATTCCACACTTTACACTAAAATATTAAAAGAAGGCCAACTTTCAACATTTCTGTTAAATTCTTTTTTAAAAAAATCAGTTACAACCATGCCAAAGGTAAGATCTATAGTACAACTATTAATCTGCATACCACTATATTGTGGAAGTGTTCGTGTTATTGTGTCCACTCCCTGTATATGATCTAAATGCAGCTTCCCTGAAATGATTTCAGATGTCAGCTGTCTGCTCTTAATTTTAAGTCTAACACAGAAGCAGCATTCAGTTCCCTTCTGAGCAATGTTATCATCATCCACCTACACCACGTTGCCTCAGATGAGTTTACGTATTCATATAAATAAACAAGATGTTGTCTGGCTTGAAGTGATCCACCTCCTCTTAGAGTTAGTGGCTTTAAGCTACTACACAGAACCCACTATCAAGATATTAAAGACATTTCATAAGCAAATAGATTCAAATTATGACCTTCCAACTTCAGAAAATGGCTGAAGTCCATGGCTTTCTCTTCAGGTAAAATAAATAATGTGGGGGAAAAAAGTCCTGATAACACATACTGACCATCAGCCTAACATGGAAAAAACCCTGAAAATAAACAAATCACCTTCATCTTTCCTAATCATGTGTGGCTTCCCTACAAGAGCATAGATTCCTGTTACCATTTGCTTGCCCAAATAAAATAAAAAAAAATACATTTTAAAAAAACAGCGTTGACAGTGAGCCATTTCATCGTGCTTTGAACAAATATCATAACAGGTGGCAAAAACAGAGCGGTGGTTTTACAGTGTGGTCCAGTTGGGCCTGAGCTGTTTACCAGTGTTTAATGTGAAAGCAAAGAGCAGGAAGAGATTACCCAAGAACAAGAACTTGTAATGCTTTGCTATACAAACTTTACTTTTTCTCCCTCCTCCTCCTCCTCTCTCTCTCTCTGTCTCTGCCCCTTGCCCCGCCTCTGTCTCTCTGTTTCCCACAAATGACGATTGAAAAAGATTATTGGTTGCAACCAATAACACCTGCACCAGCACAGCTTTGCAGAGAGACACCTGTTAGAAATCCAGGTCAGGCCTGGGAACTCAGGCAATGGGCCCACGTGATTGACCCACACACACACTCACACTCTATCTCTCTCTCACACACAAAACACACACACACGCCTTTCTCTCTGGTGCATGTTCATGTAGCAGCATCTGCAGGAGCTTCCAAAGGAGCACTGGCAGAGTTCATGGCAGAGTCAGGCACAAACACAACACAGCTGTATGGGACAAATAACCGCATCAGCTGGCAATCGACAAACAGAACAAACGTAACTTCAGCACCTATGTACTGTACATACCAACGCACTCTACTACAGCTATTCCACTTTGCCCCTATATTCTTGTTGCACCTTATCCAGTTATGCCTAACCAGTTTATTTGAGTCCATCACTGTAAGCTAGAAACATTTTTAAAGAACCAGTTACACATTTTGGGAAATACAATCCTTCGCTTTCTGGCAGCGCTTTGAATAAGAAAATGTTACATGTATTCACTATACAACTATAGAAATGAAAATCCTGCTTGCTACCTTGTCAACATGGTGTTTCTTTTTAAGCTAGAAGACAAATTATGAATAAGCAGTCAAGCGCCATGGTTGAGCGTTACCACCTTGAAACTATAGTTTACTAATGGCAGTCTCAAAAACATTCAGACTTCCACGGTTTCATACACAACAAGCCTAAGCAGTCAATCCTGTCAACTGGTTGGGTGGGGCTTTCCATGTCACTACTCCTCTTCCTGATTCGAACACGTATGGCTGATATTACAACTTGCCATTGCGTTGTGTAGAGTAGTTTTACAGTGTCTGAACAGAATCGTAGGTGAGCTGGTTTGCATGAGCTGCAGTGAGTAGAGAGGCATGCACAGAAAGAGAGGTGGGAATAGACTGTAATGAAAATGACAGCTACATCTAGTTTTGTGGGGTTTAGTCAATGACCAGAGCGATACTTTAAGCTGAAATCGCATCTTGTGGGGGAAAAAAAAAAGGTAATGATGGGAAACGGTACCCATGTTTACAGCCTCATCAGACAACTGAATCTGGCAGCTACCAGTCTGCTTGCGCTGCTGCAACTCAAATATTACTGCAGGGAACAGCAGTCTTAATTAATAAACAAAAAAATTAACATAGGACGACACTACTTCAGTCTTTAAATACATTTCACGATATGGACTTTTCCAGATTTTTTATTAAGCTTAGCTAACAGTTTTATTTGGTGTAGTCTTATTTTTAATGTACATACATTAGAATAGTATTAATCTTCTAATCTAACACTTTACGCAGAAGTAAGTGTTTTTCCCAAAATGTCAAAGTATTACATTAAGGATCAATTTAGTAAGCGAAATAGGTGTTTAATTACGGTATGAGTGTACTGTGGGTGGTTGTGTGAATTGTTGTGTGACATTTTGCCTCACAGCATCAATATTTCAACAAGTCATAATGTGACATATAAACACTTGGTAAATAGTAAATTTAATTGTCATCAATTAATCAGAAACAGGTTTCGGGCCACACTAAATATCCAATGACCAAATATTTTTTAAACACCCTAACATTATTGTGCACTTTGTTACCATGCAGCCAGACAGCACACATCTCCCCATGCCACAATATTTTCCACAGGCTTTTCCCACACAAACTGGGAGGGTAGAAAAGAGACCTCGAGTGTCTCAGCTGAGCTACATCACATGATGTAGCAGCAGAAGTAGCTATAATCACCCGCTTTGGTCGAGCAGCTTCCAGCTGTCCTGACAGAGAGGGAGACTGTGAGTTAGCGATGACATCACTCTTGAGGTGGTGTCCAGTCTGTGCTGAAAACAGGCATCTGTGCTTACTCAGGTAGACTGCCAACACACCTCTGTTATTGCCAGACTGGCTGTCAGTAAACTGGTGCATGCACACACAAGGAGAGCAATACTGCAAATGCATAGTTATTTACAGTGCAAATACACAAAAGATACAGATTTTGTATCTCTTTCACATACAATGCTGTTCATGCACAGACGGGCGTACAAGCTATATAACATGTACGTCACACTGAATACACAGAGTCCTGGTGAACACACGAGTACACTGATTGTGTATAATTTGGAACCCAGATTAGTGCTCTCTTAGGCAGGCTTAGCACCTACTACAAAGTTATGCTCAAATTCAAATTCTGCCAAATAACTAGTTAATTCACTTACATCCTTTCCAACTCAGCCGGTCTCTTTCCTCAAATATGAGCTGCTCTTCAGGGACAAAGAATGAGTCACTATGACAATATCTGCAGCTTAGATGCAGATAAAATTTGAGGAGCAAAAAGTAGTGCAGCTGCTGTTTGCCTGTGAGATCATGTGTTATTGACCCAATGAAGCTAATACAAAAATGCTTTAAAGTGCAATGTCACTGACGGCCACTAGATGCTGGCTCCAAAGAGTCATGTATCTCTAATATTTCTGCTGGTGGTCTTTTGGGAAATTATTGCAATGTTATTAAGATATAAAGGCTCCTTGATGGCTTTGATTTCTGGTGTTTGACAGTTTGCTTTTCTGCTGCTTCTGGATCCTCACTGAGTCTGACTTTGGAGCTCTTGTTCATTGATCTGAAAAGGCTTAAACACACGCTTAACTGTAACCAAATATCATTCCTCTATTAAGTTCTGTCTGTAACAACATAGCTGACAAAGCTTTGATAGCAACATGTTAGCAATACCTGCATCACCATAACTAGGCAGAAATACAGATTGTGTAACATCATGATTATATAAAAACACTATACAAATAGTTTTTGCTCTTGTAACCGCAAACATGAAAATGGATTTTTGATTCAGTGTTTACCAGTGATTTACACTCAGCTACTCTTGAACTTTGGTTCTAAATTTGCATGAATTGTAGCTTTAATAGTAAAACCCTATAATAATCTTTCTACCATTTTAATGAAGAAATGTTGTGATTTAATGATAATGCAAACAACCTCAGTGAATTCTGTTTTACATTAAGTTTTAATCTGGTCTTTTCAATATTTTATATATGCAAGAAACCTTATTACATTTTGTCTAAAGTGTGCCTCTTTGTGTCATTTGTTTCCTTTTTCTTCTCCTATATCTTTCCCACCTCCTCTCCCATGTCTTTGTCAAAATAATTATCAGAACATCTGCTCACCTAAGGCTAAGAAGTCTTTCAGCAGCAGTTCACACTGATGACACAAAAACATAAACATTAGCCACAGGGAACCGGAAAACCAAACACTCCAACCTGATTGACTGTTGAAGAACATACAAGCTAAAAGTTGCTCCACCAGGCAAACATGAATCCTAGCACCATGTACCTGCTTGTGTTTTACTGTATATGTCAGAGATCAAGTCACTGAATCATAATTCAAACATACTGGTTAGCAGTCTCGATGTTTTAGGAATAACAGTACAAATTATACAGCAAAAAAACACATTAGATTTCAAGCCATCCATTTGATCATAATGGATGTAAACAACATGCCCAAGAAGAGGCCCTTTGCTCTTCTTTTGCTATGCTTACTTTGATCAGTTTACTCCGAACACTACACATTAACTAGAGATCCTCTGCAGCAGTCACACTCAAACTCATCACTCTGAACAGCACAGCTGCCCTCAAGTCCCGACTATTTTACAGCAACAGCATTATTCCAAACCAGCCTTAAACAAAAATAACAATGTACCACACCATTTTTGTAGCCAAATAAAGATCAAGTAGACATCTATCATTCACATAACCAAATCTGAATTACACTTAAATAAAATTTGTACTGAATACAAATATTTCAAATAAACATTTACGGTATTGTTCGTATATCTCATCTTACCTGATACATTCTGCATGATGGCGGTCATTTGGGTGGACTGCTCCTCAGTGAGCGCTGCACCTGGAGGAGTGATTGTGCTGGAAACAGCTGAAGCCACTGGAGCCGATGTAAAGAACTCTGTGCCGATGTCCTTTGCTGTGTCAGACTCAGTCAGGGTGTCACCACTGCGCTCTGGCACCTGAGTGGTGGACTCATCAAAGATGTCAACAGTTGTTAATGGTGTCTCATCTTCAACTGAGGTCTCACTGTCAATCAGGTGGATGGTGTCAGTGGTGTCAGTGGTGTCTGTAGGGATTGTTGTTGGAACGATTGTATCAGCAATACCAGTGCTGTCTGATGGGCTGGATGAGAGGTCTCGTTGGGGTGGCGGAGTAGGTGGCTGGGCGTGTAATGAAAACTCAGTCTCAATGTCGTCATAATAGTCTGGGAAAGGTGTTGCTGAAGGAAGCTCAGTGGTTGAGGTTAATGAAGTTGATTCTGAGGAGCTGAGCTCTTCCTCATGGGTTGGTTCTGTTGATTCTGTTGGGTTGTCAGTAAGATCAGATGTCATCGCTGTGGTGATCCCAGTATCCAAAATAGTTTCCTCTGTCTTCCCCTCAGCAAACTGGGACTCTGTGCTGAGAGAATCATCTGGTATGGGGACATCAGGTTGGATTGTGCTGATCTCAATCACTGAGTGATCGTCTGTCTCCTCCATGGACGCTGTGGTATCAGTGCTGTCCGTTGTGGGTTTTGAGATTGTGTCACCACGATGTGGAACAATTTCCTCAGTGTTTACACTCTGACTCACAAAGTCATTAATGTCAAAGACTTTTGCAGTTGTAACATCTGTGTCCTCATGTTCCTCTTCGATTGTGGGTGCAACTGTTGTGAATAACTCTTCTTCTTGGCCCGCTGGAGTAGGACGAGGTGGAGCCATGCTGGTTGAGAACATAGATGGAAGATCTGTAAGATCTGGAGAGTCTGAAGACTCTTCTGGATGTGATACTGTGTCAGATGTTGTAGTTGTTATGGTGGTGGTACTCTCGATTAAAGGGATGGAGGTAGTGGGAGCGATGGTGCTGGTGGTGATTGCTGCCACTGACACATCCACAAAGGAAGTCTGGTTGATCACCCATGTCCTTCCTATACAACATACACAAGCACATAATTTTAAAACTCAGAAATGATTAAAAAATAATTAATTAAAACAATCCAAATATAACACATAATCATGAATTTTGAGAAAATACAGCACTTTTATCTACTTTTATTACTCTAAGGATTTGAAAATCATTTCTTTGAACACTTGGACATTTGTTTGGCTGGAATGCTTCTCCTGCCACATTACAGGTTCCATTAGCCAGTTGTTACTCTGTGTGATACAGACATCATACTGATGTGAAGAAAGATGAAATCATTACAACAAAGATCCAACAGGTAGTTTGTTAGTCACCTGATTTGAATCATTGTGTTTTACACATAGAAAGACACAATTTTGATGTGTCCATGATGTGTAAAATGGACAAACTCTTCAAAACAGATTACAATTTTAGTACCTTCTTTGACACGCGTCACTGTTCTTCCCTTACAGTCGTGACCCTCCCAAAACTCCCAAAACCCCATAGAGACTGTGTCTGCTCTTCGACCACCTAAATTAAATGAATCAAAAATCAGCACAAAATGAGTTATTTATAAGAACTTAATTAAAGTTATAGTTGCAAGCAGCAACGGGCGGGCCAAGCACAGCAGGGCACAGTCGCCATGGCAGCTCGATCTGACCATGCTGAAAGTGTTGCTTTAAGCACTGACAGTAAGCGGTGACATCACAGTATGTCATGTCTCATCTTTGGGAGCCCCCAAAGTATCGTCTGACACAAAAAGGGAAACACATCAACACACGCGGTAAAAAGCTTATTGTTGCACCCACAAGTGGTCAAATGACACAAATGGCTTCCACATCCTGAGGAAGGCATCCCAAATCCATCAGGTTTGGCATCAACACATCAAAGCGTGGCAAAGATTAGCCCTCGTATAAATCTGTCTACTAACCTTCATGAGGATTTGTCTAAAAACGATCTGTGCCGTATTTGGTCAAGATTTAAGAATGTTTATGGCTATTTAAAACCTTCCAAGGCTTTTGAAGAAATGCAACATAAATGAGCTACCTTGATATGTTAGGTTGTTGTATTCCGTTAATGGGATCTCCCAATGAATCACCAGACGTAACCACTTTTATAGGTACAGCACCTCAATCTGCATTAGGAAAAGCTTTGGTTTTTGTCACTACAGTGCCCCAGTGTCAACACATGAAGCAGTTGCTGAGACATGATCTCAGTGTTTATTGGTCTGGCAGCCATTTTGGATTGGCTGTGACAGATGATGCTTTCAAAATTCAAAAATCCAGCTTCATTAGACTTGGTCTGAAGAATTGCTGGGCAAATTTTCATGAAGCTAAAAAAAATTGTGACCCATGAAAATTCTTTACATTTTTTTCACAACATTCAATAATGCTGAAAATTTGTATTGAAGAAACTGAGCTCAATGGTGCATTGAACTCAGTCTTATCTATGGAATCAAATGGTATCGCATTTTTAAAAATCTGGAATATTGTTTATAAGTTATGTACGTAAACATGCCTCAGAGTTTGTGCAGATTAGTGTTGCTAAAGTGCTCAAGGCACAGACGTGAACCTTCATAAAAGGAATCAGGGTATTTTCCACAATCATTTTTTGAAAAAAATCCACTACAGTCGATACAGTGTTGTAATCAAATTTAAGAAAGTGATTCAATTACTATTTATTGAAGTGCCAATCGAGGGCAGCTACCTCACCTTTACTCCAACAATAGTCAATTATGTTGTTATTAATGCTGCAGCCTAACTGCATATGACACGCAATACTGTTTTCTTTAAAAAATAGGGCAATGAATCAGAGGATGCTCTTTTCTTGGTACAATGCACACTTCAAAGCAAGCATTGCAAAAACCAGAAAGGCAGTGCTGCTCCACCAATTGACCTTCTCGAGGTTCTTTTGAGCCTTGCATTCCTTTAGCTCTCAGTAGTTAAGACTCCATGAGCTTCTTTACAACTCTAATTGTATCTACTGGAAAAAAGATTTGTCACATCCTTCGCACAACTTTCACAGACGTATCATCAGGTACAGCAACATGCTTATAAGACTGGATTCATATTTACACTATAGATACTGTACATGGATAGGTACATAGTGTACACGATAAGTTAACTTTCACAATTACTTTGTCCACACTGTCCACATGTCCTTTAGACTCCATTCCAACCAGACAGCTCAAGGATGTTTTACACTTGATTACAACTTCCACATCAGATCAGTCTGTCATTATTAACAGAATGCATACTGCAGGGTTTTAAGGTTGCTGTAAATAAACTAGTACTTCACACTGCTATTCTTGACCCTGGTATTTTAGTTAACTATAGACCAGCTGTATATCCAACCTTCCTTTATTTCTAAAAAGTTGTTGAAAATCAATTATGTGACCACCGACACAAATGGTTTGTTTCCAGATTTTCAGTCAGGATTTAGAGTACATCACAGCACAGCAAGAACACTGACAAAAGTCACCAACAATCTTCTTACAGCCTCAGATGACAGACTCATGTCTATACTTGTTCTGCTAGTCCCCAATGCGCCATTTGATACCAATCATCACAGCATTTAATTCAAGCTGTGTGTCACTGGGAAAAAAAAGGTACAAATCACATCTATCAGAAAGATTCTAGTTTGTTCACGCCACAGTGATTCTTCAGTGCTTACAAAAGTTAGTGTTGGAGCTCTTCCAGGTCCTGCGCTATACTTTCACTTTCTAAAAGATTTTCTTGGCTAATATTATTAAGACATAAGTTTACTTGTGGTTCATAGAGTTTCCAGAAGTAAAATTGGAGTCAGGGCCTTTCCTATCAAGCTCCTTTAGTGTGGAACCAGCCTTCAGTTTGGATTCAGGAGACAGAGATTCTCTCTATTTCTGAAATCAGGTTTAAAATTTTCCTTTTTGATAAAGCCTTTAGTTAGCACTGACTCAGGTGACGCTGGACCATCCCTTCGTTATGCTGCTAGACTGCTGAGGGAATTTCCATGATGCAACGAGCACCTCTCTTTTATTCTCTTCTCGTTCACTTGCAGTGCATTTTTATGTCTCCGTGGCATGTCATTAACTTTCTTCCTCCCCTAGTTTGCGTTTCGTCCACTCTGCCGGTATTTCTGGCTCCAGAGCTTTTCCACATTTCTGATCTGTGGTTACGGACCTCACCAATCTACCCAGTGCTTATTGTTCTCCTATGCGTTGTTTGTCTGGTTCTCTGCGCTATCCTTTCGCCTGTCCTTTTTACTCTCACTCCAACTGGTTAAGATAAATGGCTGCCCTCAGTTGGTTTCTTCCTGAGAATTGTTTTTTTCTTACTGTCGCCAAAGTATTGCTCAAAAGGATTTGTTTAGACTTGTTAGGTTTCACTCTATGATACAATATTGTAACGTCCTTGCCTTACTGTGTGAAGAAAGTAAGATACATGACTTGTGTCCTGACTTGACACAAAATAAATAAAACTTGAATTGAATTAAAACACTGCATAAATTCCCATTGTTTTTGCAGATAACACCCACTATATTTTTCTATGAGGCCAGAAGAAACAAATCAGTTGGTTAAACTACAAGCATGTCTTAAGGACATAAAGGCCTAGATGACCTATAATTTTCTACTTCTAAATTCAGAAAAAAACTGAAGTCATTGCATTTGGCCCCAAAAACCTCAGAAACACACATTGGAACCATATAATTACTCTGGGTGGCATTACCTTGGAATGCAGTTCTACTGTGAGAAGCCTTGGTGTTATTTTTGGCCAAGATAAGTCCATTAACGCACACATAATTCAAGTCCTTAGGAATATTGCCAAAATCAGAAACATCCTGTCTCGAAGTGATGCCAATAGACTAGTCCACACATTTGTTGCTTCAAAGTTGGACAACTGTAATTTGTTAATATCAGGATGTGTCAATAACTCTCTGAAAAACCTCCAACTTATCCCAAATGCTGAAGCCAGAGTACTGACAAGAACCAGGAAGAGAGTTTACCCCAGATTAGCTTCTTGCATTAGTTTCTCTGTAAAATCCAGAACAGAATTTAAAACCCTTCTCCTCACAGACAAAGACCAAGCTCCATCACATCCCGAAGACTATGTAGTACCGTATTATCCCAACAGAACACCTGTAGTTGGCTCAGGTGAACCTGAATCATCCCCCGGACTTCCCATGATGCACCTAGCACCTCTCCTCTCCACTCTTTCACTCTTTGTCCATTTCTACCCTACCGTTGCATATCATTAACTTTGTGTCTTCTCTCTCCTGTAGTTTGTGCTTCAGTCTGGTCTCTCCCTGGAGCTTTCTGCAGGTATTTCTGGCTGGGGAGCTCCATGTTTCTGATCTATGAGTACTCATTTATTGTTTGTTGTTTCTCAAATGCTCATCATTTTCTCTCTCTACTCTCCCCTCACGCCAAGCAGTCAGAGCATATGGCCGCCTTTCCTGAACCTGCTTCTGTCTGAGGTTTTTAACCTGCCGCCAAGTGTTTCCTTAAGGGGGAATTTGTTGGGTTTCTCTCAATAGAACTCACTGTGTAATGTGTCCTGAAATTACTTTTGGTATGATTTGGTAATAGATGATATAAGTAAATCTGAAATCCATCCAATTAAACCTTGTATATGTCAAGTGAGCAGTTTATGAGACAAGCCCTGTGAGTCAGCCAAGCAGCAGTATGGCCCAGCTGCAGCAGTTTAACTCTTAAAGTGTCCAGAGTTTCCAGAGTTTCCTAGAAAGCTTAGTGTGAAGGACTTCCTCTCTTCACTCTCAATACTGTTTAGCTTCAGCTATAACATTAATATACTGGATGTTTCCAAAGAAGAAGTGGACCAAAGCTACAGAACATAGTTTGGATACGCGCTGGAGGGGTGGGAAGCTAACCAGTTATCTTTACTGGTGAGGCCAGTGTTTACTGGTTTCTGTGAAAAAGTAATTGTGCTTTAAGTGTTTTTCAAACATTTGCTGATTTGCCTAAAAGAGTCCCTGTGACTCTAACAGAAGACTTAAAGAGCATATAAACTTTAAGGAATCTAGTGTTTTGGTTTTATTGAAGCTGATGTATTTTTTTTCTCTACTGTAGCAGTTCATCTGAGTGTTAACCTGTATCATGTCCTGTCATTGTACTAAACATATCTACAGCATTTTGTTTACATTAATACATCCTTTTACCTTCCCTCTGATTCTCCTGAGTGCCCCTCTGTCCTCTCCCATTTACTCACACCAATAAAAACACCAGTGAAACAGCTTTAGAGAGTTTTCCTCAGTGACCCAGACTGAATGTGTGAGGGCAGCTGTTGACCATGACGTACTCAAACCGTTTCTTTATTAAACTATCTCTGATGTAAAGTGTGAGGCACGTTTTTCCCTAACAGGAAAAAGAAAAAAAACAGGGCTGCTCTCAGAAGGGAGTGCATTATCTCACCAACCCATTTGAGCTGTTACTGAGGCCTTCAGGCCAATCCAAAGACTAATCAGAGGCCAATTATCCCTCTTTTCCCTCTGCATCTACCTCCTTTCTCCTTGTCTGTCTGTGTAATCTAAATGACGTAGGTTTACACTCTATATCCTATTTGAAATATTTAGGGTAGTGGGAAAGCAGGAGATGACGGAGAGATTCCCACCAAACGAGTACATGAAAAGCACTTACACCGGGGTGTAAATACAACACGACTGACATGGAGTACACAGAGCAGGAGGTGAAGGTGGCCTGTTTGTGTGCCCTCTGAACTCCGTGGGGACTTATCACCGCGAGAGTTAGCCTGGCCCAGGGGCGGTAAATGGCCAGGCAGTGGAAAGCTTATCTGTCCAACCTCTCATTTGTAAAGATGGAAAGGAAAGGTCGAGGGTCACCAAGGATGACTGAATTTAGAAGTCCAGCAGTAGCTTTGTCCCATTATCCAAACGTCTGCTCTGATAAGTACAAGTGAGAATGACGGAGGGCAAACTGACAGCGGAAATGAGAGGTGAAAGACGGAAAGGGAGTTAGATAGTGAGTCTAAAAAGGCTGACAGGTGTGGTATTAGTTACTTTGGCCGCTTCTCTAAATGGCAATTATCAACTGTCATTTGGTGTTGCCCTGGGAATACTGATTAGTTAAGAGCACTCACATTCTGAGGGATTAGTCTAAATCTGCTAACTTTCAGTGAACCAGGAAGTGTCACTCTTTATAGATACCGAAAGCTCTGTTAAATTCACCATAGTTTGCGACATGAGGTCATTTATGTGCATATGGGAGCGCTCATTGAGTGAAAGTTCACAGAAATGACAGCTAATTAATTTGTACATCTTCACCACATTAGCTGATCAGGATACTTTTGCATTTGCTAAATATTAAAAATAGTAAGAGAGCACATCAATTTTTCAGTTTTTTTCCCCCATATAACCATTGAGGTTATATGAGGATAAAGCTTAAGAAGTCTTGATTAGCCCAGCTGGAAGTAATAAAGATTTCAAAAAAATCCAAACAGATACTGCCTGTTCTCAAACTCTTAGGCAAACTATTGAACATTAAACCTCAATTAGAAAAAAAAAAAACTTGTATGTTCATTGCTTTCAAAGTAAACAAAGTCTACCACTATGATTTTACTCCCCTCTTGGCTAATTTAGTTGCCTCAGAAACGGGCGGGAGACTAAAATGAGAGACAGTGAGGTCAACAGGACGGTGTAGTCTGGCACATAACACGCGACGACGCTCATAAGAAAATCCTCCCTTTTGCTTTGCCTGTGTTGTTGTTGTCATTGCAGTCATAATGCATAAAACAGACAAAAACTGAACAGAACATCTGACAACAGACAAGACAGGTTGTTAAAACTCTTAAATGTTAGTCAGGTCCAGACGTGGGAAACAGTACAGTGGTGCAAAGAAGCAGAAAATCAAAGGGTGGGGATGCAGGAGCGAATAAATGTAGCAGATGACATCATAGGGCTTTACAGTCAGGCCGGGTTTTGTCAGGACATAGTCTTTACATTCAATCATGTCTGTCTTTTATAAACAAGAACATACATACATCATATGACTCAGTGTTTACAACTATGTTCCATGATATACTACATATACACTAAATAGTAGCAACAAGTGTCCTCGGAGTGAGTTTTTACCTTTAAAACAGTAAGCCCCAAGCTTCCTTGTTGGTTCTGGGAAGCCGGTCTGGTTTCTGTAGCGATACATGGTCCTGACACCAAGCAGGCCTCCCCCACACTTGACCCTGGGTACTGCAACTGGATGTCGTACGCTGCCATCGGAGAGCCAGCCATAGTCACATTTGTCCAGGCCCTGTCGCCAAGCGGCGTGGAGCTGACCAGGGCTTGCCAGGACACCGTTCCTCTTTTCACACTCTGCACGGGCCTCTTCAAAAGTCATCTTCTGGGTCACAGGAGCATAGAAGACCTCACCTGAATCAAAAAGAGCAAAATCCAATGTAGACTCGATACTGAAGCACAAAGTACAAGTCAGAATGCCAACAAATCGTCAGTAGTTACAGCAACAGAAGATGAATACTCAAAGTAAGTCAGTTTATTACTAGCAGATGCACAGTCATTCCACCCTTAATTTTTAATTATTTCAACTGAAAACAGAACCAAACAGCCCTCATTTAGAGTAATCTGAGGCTACGGATTTTTAGACCATTTTGACCTTTCAGAAAAGCCAAAACAGCTGACGAAAGTCACAGCTGTGCAGGGCAGAGACCCAAAACATCTCCCACCGATCATTTTTAGGACAACAGTAGTTCATTCATTATATTAATCTGAGGTGGGATAGCAATGTAGACAATGTGCCTGGCCTGTCAATGAACGTGTCTGTACTTCAGGACATTAGGGTTTCCCCTCGGTGGCTGCGTGAACGAGACTACACCTTCTATTTTCCTTCCTTCACGTTCCTGTATGGATCTTTCTTCATAAAAGGCTAATGCACAATGAACAATATGAACATTTGTCTTTGTTTACAGGATAATATAAAAGAAAAAGTAGAGAACTGCATGATCATAATTGAAACCAAACATCGTTACAGGAGAGGAGGGCTGACTGACTACATGTTTTCAGTTAGTCTTGGGCGTTAGTAACTTTTTAAATATGTTGGTTTCATCCCATTGATTTACAAGGGTATTGAGATTGGAAGATGCTGTCCACCCAGGAATGTCTTCCCATTTAAACACAGGCAACAGACATGCCAACCTTTAAACAATCACATTTCAATCAGTGCAGCAGTTGTGTTGGACATTTTCTGCACTTTAAGTATCACACTGATGGCCCCCAGTGTATTATTAGTGTGACAAGCACAAGTTTCATATTAAAAATAGTTATCTATGTCTTAAATTCCTTTATCATAACACCAAATCTTATCTCAGCCTGGATCCTATAGTTCCCAGATGAATTTTCATGATTAATTTATGACATTAAACATTTCCGTTCAACTTAAAAAAAACATGTCAAACCACCTCCAACAAGCAAGTCTGTTGTCATAGATCACAGATAAAGGACAATGTTACTCAACATTTTGAGGCTAATGAATATTCAGGGCCTTGTGGGTTGCCACCAGTCTACAACACATACAAATGCAACCACAACCTTCCGTGTTGAATTCCAGTGGAAGACCATTGTTGCATGTTATTCCCCTCTCTCCCTCTCTTTCTCTAAAGTTTTGTGTCACTTTCTACACACTAATAGACACAATAATGATGAGGTCGAAATGCATGTATAGTCTCTTGGGGATATGTGTGTGCACATATGTGTTTGTTCCTCGTTACTGATGCAACATTTCCTGGTAGATATAAATGTTTACATCTGCTCATAACACTGATAATATAAATGTCACGGTACTGACTGATGGCTTCGACTTTCACAGTGTGCCAAATGAACTGAAACCTATATTATGTACACTAGCACGGCTGCGCTAAACAAATCCCAGAAGAGCGAGCACAGGGGGGGATGTCTGCATAATAGATGTGACAAGAGGGATGTAAATGCGCATAAAACACTCCAAGTGGAGTTTAGTCCATCAGCAATAACAGGCTGGATAGTGAACAGACAGAAAGAGGCTGTTGGCTGAAAAGCAAAGACTTCCCATAAGCAGTGCCAAAGACATTTAAAAACCCCATTATCACATTTTTGCTGGTGACTTTTTCAAAAACCGCTCTGGTAGAGGATGAATTTCAATTCCTGCTTGAGTGTCAAATTATTAGCTTCTCTGTAATCCCAGCTCCCTTTCAACAACATTAGAGATTGTTTAAAATAACTGAAAGGTCACCCACTGTCAGTATTCAAACAAAGCATTTAATTGCATTTCCACACTAGTTTTATAAGCTGTAAAAGTCATTTGCTCTGGCACTGCGGTAATTTGGAGGTTTCTTGATTTCAGCCAGGGTGTGTGTCAGTGCCTCTGAATGACGGCTCATTGCTTACCATCGAGCTTGTCTACATAACAGTATACATCATAGGTCTCCGTGGGTTTCCTGCTTCCATATGACCTCACACCAGGTTTGGTCAGAAGGTTGCCGTAGCAGCCTTTTCTAGGATTTATAATGGGATATCTGACAAATAAAGAAAGACAACATCCATTATAATGCATGGGTTACATCATCTTACCTTTGTGCAAAATACAACTGGAAAGAAATGACTTTGCTGTAGACAATTTGAAATGCAGCTAACCTCACTGTCTGGTCAGCAATCCAACCGGCATCACACTGATCGAAGCCGTCCTCATAGGCTGCTTTCAGCTGGTCATAAGTGGCAATGGTTGCTCCAACATCTTGACAAGCTTGGACGGCCTTCTGGTAATCCAAAGTGTACCTGCTGGTGCTTGCTCGGTAGTGAAAAACAACACCTGGTGACAAATAGTTAAAAAAAAAAAAAAAAAGACCATTTAAAGATGAAACATAAAGAAGTGTTGTATTGTTTGGACACTTGAATATAGTGATCTGGAATTCATCCGCATAGTTTCAGTGCTGTAAATTATGGCAAATGTCTTGTAAAGCACACTCTACGAGTGAAATAATTGAGTCTCTTAGCTTCTTTGGAAAGGAGGAACTTTGCAATAAACCAAGAGGATAAGCAAAATACTCTACAGTTCACCACAAATGAACAAGATAACTGCATATGATGCCATGGCCCTGAAATCCCCATATTTGTGGACAGTAAACAGACGCAAAAGATATGATTGATAGTCATAATTAACATTGCAGATAGTTGGAAAAGAGGTTATGCAGATTGTAAACCAGTGAAAACCAAAACTATCTCAGTATGCCCCCACCCATGTTTTCTACATGAGTTATATCTCCCCGAGTACTTGTCTAGAGAGAGCCTGTAGAATGAGCATAATGACACTAGGTAAGGATTGATAATCCTGTCCTCCCCCCACTATAATAACACTGTAATTTGGGGGATACGGGGGATACTGTTATTGCTCAGTGAATGCAAAGTAAAAAAGACTTGGTGATGTCTACCGCGTGCTCCACCAAGAGAAAAAATTCTGCTGACAAGGTGGCACCCAAGATGACAGGGATTAATGAGGTTAGCACTGTAGTTCTAACTCTGCCCATACAAGCCTCTGGAATGTCATGCACATTGTGGCTCTAATGGCTGATTGGGTTAGATGGATGAACACTGGAATTAAAACACTGCAGTACGTGGTATGGACAAGGACCCAAAGTCTCATCTGACTCTTTTTGAGAGTGTGTCGTCTCTAAAATAAGAACAACTGAAAACTGTGGTTACCACGTGTAAGTACTGGGTAGCTGCTGCTATCAAAGTAAGCAGAAGGACGCCCATCGTCCTCTCGTGCCGTTTACATTTCTATCATCACTTGTATTACATTTCACTATTATTAAGCCCTTGCAGCAACCCCCCTCTACAATTTTCATGTTTTTTGTCTGATTCCAGCATGCCGTGGGAAGGATATTGAGAGTGTCTCACCGCTGACGTCGAGGTTCACCGTATCCTGGGTGTCTTCGATGCCATACATGACCTCGCAGCGATATGTGCCCGCGTCGCTGGCTCGTAGCTTGACCATCGTCAATGAGGCGTCACCGACATCCTCGGGGTGACTGGGCACTGATACTCGGTTCCTGTAGCTTGAGCCGATCTTGATGACCCCATTTTGCGCCACTAGCACTGTGGATTCTACTTCCCCCTCTATTTTGCTCCATTTGATTCGCAGGTAGTCGTTGCTATAAATGGCTGTTCCATTGGGACTGATGACAGGTGCTGAGGTTGGGATTGTGGAGAAGAAGCAGGGAAGGTTCACCTTCCCTGAGAGGGACCCAGTGACCGGTCTGATTATTGATAACGTGTTGGAGGCTGAAAGGCACAAAGCAAAAAAGAGTTTAATGCAACTTCAGCTCATAATCACTGTTCAGTGTTGCCCTTATCCTTCAGTTTTTCCTTTCATCCAAACACATGCATCTTCTGTTTACTCTCATCCTAATAGATGAAAGCAGACGCTATAAACTGCTCGACTCATTTACATTGATAGGGTGTGACAGCTACACCCAGCATAATAAAAAAAACATGCATCATGGTGTGAAAATGGCTCTTGTGAAGTCAAACCTCCTCCCTATGGGCGTGGGAACGCTGAGTGTATTGTATGTACAGTATGTTGGTCTGAAGTTAAAGATAATTGGTTAAACGGGGGGTTAGGGTTGCATCATCTCAAGTCCTACCACTGCTTAACCCTGTACATGTTAGTTTTCCTTTTCAATTATGCTCTCCTTCACCTACAGGAGGACTACCATGACAGGCAGACCCACAACAAAAGAAGTGAAATATGTCCCTGGATCATTTTTTATATTTCACTTTGCATGACCTCCAACTGTATTCTTCCTTGAAAACTGCTCATGTTACACATTTAGTTCAGTTTAATCCTGAAAACTAAATGTTCAGCAACAAGGAGCATAGAATTAAAATGCTGCCAAATTAGGCGATGCAATCAATTATTATGCTTAACTCCCAATTTCAATTCTGTGAGGATGTCAGACAGGATTCCAGACATGTGAATGGCAGTAAGTGGAATCAGACTTAGCTCAGTGAAGAGGAAGACCATTTACCTCTTTTTTTTTTTTTTTTTGGAAAGGTTGGAGGGGGGGCTTTTACAGGGAACAATGAGGGGAATGCTCTGGAAACAGTGGTGGGACAGCCCCAGAGGCATGAGTCTGTGTGCTTTAACGGAGGGGTCTTATTAGGATGTGGGACCAGCTGTTCAGCTTCCAGACTGGGAGCAGAGTCTAATTGAAAGGTGTCCATCCCTACCCAGAGACAGAGCCAAGGGACGAGGGGCCAGCAGAGCCATGGGGGCCAGGGAGCCCGAGACGTCACCTTCACCTTTGAGAAGAGTCCCACAGGTTTCGCAAGAGAAAATACTGGAATGAGTTTATCACAAACTCCTACTTTAAAAAAAGCCTGAAACCTTAATGTTACCAGTGACACAATAATCAGTTTGCAGCAGATAAGCTGCTGAGTACAGCTCAATGCAACAAGGTGACAAACACACCGGGGTATGAAGGGATGAGGGGAAAAGAGATTGAAGAAGATAGAGAAAAAAAGAGAGAGAGGGAGGGAGATGGAGGAAGAGAGGAGTGAGGAGAGGGAAAAGCAGAGGGAGAGGCACTGACTAATTCAGAACTTACCTGTTGCGGTTGCAGCTTCACAGAGACAGTATAACCACAGGATATGCTTTATATTTAGTATCATCTGTAGGGGAAATGAAAAAAAGATGCATCAGGAAACAACTCATGCACAGTCTTTATGCTTCATGCTGTTTTTAGTGCATTTGTTAAAATCATTAAAGGAGTGACACATTAGCTGAGTCATAACAGAGAAGTCTGCCTAAGCTACACCCATCCAGAAAGTTTGTCCACGAGTGCAGCCTGATTTTTTTTCAAGAAATTAATTAATTAAAATATACTTTCATACATTATATATAAATAAAGAAGATACTATGGGATTTATCTCTCTTAAAAAAAAATGTTGACATGGAAAATCCCCCAGAAACAAGAAACATGGGATTTAGCACCAGATCTGTCACACTACCAGGACACTTCCCTTTATTTCCATAAGAAATAAGATATTGAGAAAGAGGGAAAAAAAAACATTTAATGAGCAAGCCTCGTGTACTCAGTGAATTGGTGGGTGGCAGAGTTACTTCCTGTGGGGTCGAACTGCAGAGTTTTTGGAGACAGGAGGACAGGAGCAGGGAGCCCCTCGGCCTCATTTGCACCCCATTGTATAAACACAGGCGGTGGGTCGCAGTGGGAGCTTAAAACTGTTATTCTTTTAAAGAAAAAAAAAACGAGAAACTCACTGTCTCATGTCAGCTGGTAATTAGAAGATCATCGAGAATTTAAAAAAAAAAAGAAAAAGAAAAGAAAAAAGAGTGGCAGTTTGTGAGTCAACAGAGCCACTGTCATGGAAACTAAATTAAATCAAAGTTTGAGGAGGAAAAAAAAACAAAGCGCAACAAGCCCAGCTCTAAAAATGTTGCATCGTTTTGTCTCTGATTTACGCAAAATTACTGTAAATGTCTGCAGAATAATGTGCACAAGCTACTTGGAGTTGCAGAAGGTTTTCTAGGAAAACGAAAAAAAAAAAAGAGTCATTCAAAGAAAAGTATCACACAGGCGTATAATTGGTTGCAGATTTTTTTTTTTCATGCGCAGCTTGAAGATGCTTTCTGCTATTAGGAAAAAAAAATCTTTCACTGAGATACTTTTATCGTAATTTATTACGGAATTAATTCAAACTCGAGGTTTTTGTGCGCTTTCGTGGCTTTTTCTTTTCTTTTTTTTTTTTTCTTTCCAGAAACACCTGTTGTTTCTGGATGCTCACTATAAATCAAGACAAGTTAACATGATTATTTTAATTCCCAGCTGTCAGATGTGAGTTTAGAAACATGTGGCTTAATCTGATATTGTCAGTTCTGATTTTTAAAACGCAATTTCCTCAGGAGCGGGACGCAGCAGTGCAGGTTATCTAAGGACAGCACGGCATCACTGGGTGTGTTGGATCATTGGCAGACTGAGATGTTAACTTTAAATAGACTGACTTGTTTTATTTCAAGCTTATTTATTTCAAACATTTGCCTAATATCATTGCAAAATATGACATATTGACGAAGCAAATCACCAACAATGAATAATCGCTTAATTTTGTGCAATAGTTTCAATTCACACTTCAGCTCAAAGACAAATAACGGGGAAATACTCACGTTTATATGTGTTTTATTCCATAAAATGCACAAATATCGATGTATGTCCTTAAATCGAGTTAGTCCCAGTGCGTAACATGCGTGCGTAAAAAGTGCCTCAGTAGGTCCACTCCAAATTGGCGCATCAGCGCGTATCTTCCCGGTGTGCCCTTCTCCTCTCCTTGATGCCCCACAGTTGCAGGGTCCCGCTCCGGGATGATCCTGGTTCTGAACAGGGCGACAGAAACCGTGAAGTACTGGCAAGCAACAAGTTCAATTTTGCCTAACTCACGTTGTTATTTCGTCAGTGTTGGAGAGGAGGGGCCCGAAAAAAAAAGTGAATGAGACACCTTGTGGAGGAGGGAAAAAAACTTAATTTGACCATGTGCCCGAGAGGTGCGTCCTCATCCAATCAGACTGTTTCGCGATCAGGCAGATCTTTGTGCAGGTTACTGTCATTTCATAGAGTGAGCGCATCTGACTCTGGACCTCTAAATGATATATGAAGGTAATCAAATGCAAAATTAAAATCACCAGATATTTAACAGTTTTACAAGTGCGACACATTTCTTTATTTTATTTATTTATTGATTTTTATCGCTTGCACTGTGTGCATCGGATATCATCAGCTATCTTTGGTGAGGGTCTCACATTGATGCCATGCGGAGAGCGCACCAGTCATATCCAAGTGTGCGCAATGGAAACAGGGTGGTGCAGACATGTCTCTGGTTGAATTTGAGTCACAACATAATGTTTGTTCCAACAACACATTTCTGTCAATATAGTGCGGGAATTTTCCCATCCATCTCCTCGAACCACTTTAGACACTTCAAACAGTCTCATCGCTCATGAGAAGAACAAATAATATCAAGTTTGCCTCAAAGGTGTTTTCTAATGATGTTTGTTATTCTAGGCACCGGTTTTAGCAACAGAGCGTGTTTACAGTAATGCAGTTTGTAGGATTTGAGAGGGAGAAACTTATTGTCCATCATCAGAACAGATGAACTGAAATGGAGATGGGTTGTCTGTGAGCAGCATGTATGACTGCCTGCGTGAATAGTAAGTAGTGATTAACTGGAACCCCTGTGCTTGGCTTTTCCACACGGGGGAGAGGGTGGACCACAGTTTATCAACTCTTGCCTAATGATAACCCTGATTGGCTGCTGCTCGACAGGTAGGAGGGCTCAGCTGAGTGAGTTGTGTGTTTGTGCCTGCGTGGAGAAGTTGGTCTTGACAAAGCAGTGAATAATGTGAATGAGTCTGATGTTGCTTATTAAACTAAAAAAATAAAGTCTACATTCCCAGCGTGTCATCTCAGATTAATCCTTTTTTTTTTATGGATGCCTAAAACCAGAATGTTGCTGTGAGTAAACATGCTCATTTATTTTTCACTGCTGTTTGTGGCATCCTGGGATAACAGCTTGTCCCTGGATGAAAAGCATTGTAATCTGTTTCTAGTGCAAATCCCTTTTAGGGCTTCAGTGTTGTGCATACATAATTGTCTATAAGCCAATGAAACCCCATGTTTGATTAGAGTATGTGTAATGATCCCTGCAAGATTAAGAGATTCAAGTGCAATTTTACTTTACAAGTAGACAATACTGAGTGATTTTACCAAACAGAAAACATATCTTGCAACATATCAAAATGAGCTTGTTAATGACAGCACCTGAAAGACACAGTGTATGACCATGTGCACGTGATTCAAAACTCACAGGGACGCCTGGTTTCTGACTCTAGTGGGCTAATTGTTCAAAATTAGGTGAGAAGCAGAGCAGAGGTGAAAAGCTTCTGGAAGAAAAAGGTTGCCCCTGAGGCCTGAGGGCCCTTGTAAAAAGTCAGAGGTGTCTTTTCCTACCTAGCTGCATTGTAATCATCTCCAGGTACGACAACCGTTTTCCACAATACATCGTTTCCTGCAAGGCTGGACTGGTCTGGACAGCCGGACTCTGAGAAAGAGAGGAGGCAAGGGAAGCTCTGGGTGAGATAGAAAGGGAAGGCTGCAGGTAACGGGCTGTTAATTTCATCTAATGCAGAACCTGGCAGTTAGTTTGACATTATATGTGTGCTGTATAAGACAGAAAGAAATGACAAAATCAGAAAATGGCTCTATCAGTAATAAATAAAGACAGATTTCCTTCTGATGACACAATTCAAGGAAACAGGTTTCCAAACGTTTTAAACAACTTCCCACAGAGCTCAAACTGACTTGATTCTGGGTGGAATTTGCCACTTGACCCCAGCATAATTAACGACCACTCAGTTTTGAAGTTGTGGGAATCATTTAATCACTTTACTGCTTTACATTCTAAACTGAGTCATCGTTAAGTTAAAAGTTGCAAGTCACTTCGTGCTGCGTAAAAAGTCCCTTCTGCATGTGTAACCGTGGAAGCCCTGTTGCCTTTCAGTACCCATAAATCGATGAGTCAAAGAGCCAGTCAGGGAGCGTTTGATCCTGGTGATCCGCTGTGTGGGCCCCAAGATGACCCACATATCACATGACCTATAAAGGTGGTCTACCTCCGGCCCCATGCCACCTCAGTCTGCATAAAAGGGGCATTAAATTTCTCCAACCTGGAGGGATCTGTCCTGGAGAAATTGCGGAAATTTTAAAACCCATAGCTGCACAGCTTTAAAGGATTTAATTGATTACATATACATACTTCCGTCTTCCCATATTGTGCCTTTTCTGAGGTTCAGTGAAAAGGAAATTGTCGAGTATGTACAAGCATATGCAGTAGAGAAAATTAATTAAGTCAGCAATTACTGGCTTAATTCATTTGCTCCTGATTAAATAAACATTATTCTTCTGAGTATTGCTGGGAGAACAAAAAATTAATAAATAATGGTGTAAAACAAGTTGTACAATTAAAAGAGTCAAACAAATGCCAAACCTGTGACACAGAGCGAGAAAAAAACAACAACTTTGCTGTGATTTCCCAAGGCACGGGGAAACAAGCTTGTAGTGTGTGTGTGTGTGTTTGTGAGCGAACCCCCTGTTTAGAGCGGAAAATGTGGGAAAATGAAGTTGCCTCTGGACAGACATGAACCCTGATCCTTTGGAGTCAAGTGAGGAGGTCCAGACCACCGAAGCTGATCCCTTCAGCTTTAGTTAGAGGCAAAGAAAGGTAAACAGCGGCACAGGAGTTGATTTTAATCAAGTTTCTTCAGACCAAAATCAGGTCAATGTACTCATGTTTGCTTACAGAAGGTTAGAAAATAATGTTTTGGTCAATATTTCTTCTCTTGGCGGTTTGACCTTTACTGTACAGAGTATGTATAAAAATATCCATCCATCCATCCATTTTCTGAATCCTCACTAGGGTCGTGGGGGGCTGGAGTCTATCCCAGCTGACTTAGGGCGAAGGCAGGGGACATCCTGGACAGGTCACCAGTCTATCACAGGGCTACACTTAGAGACAGACAACCAAGCACACTCACATTCACACCTACGGACAAGTTAGTATCACCAATTAACCTCAACATGTTTTTGGACTGTGTGGGAGGAAGCCGGAGAACCCGGGGAGAACCCACACTGCACAGGGAGAACATGTAAACTCTGTATAAAAATGTAATGCTGTTTTTTAATCCATATGCTGACAGTACAAAGTTTCTCCACACACAAATAAAATCTGAGTTTAAGTGATCAGGATTTGTGACATCACAGTTTAGAAGTCTTTCCTCACCCATCAGACGACTTACAAAAGTGTGAAGAGGGAGACCAGACACATGTATACACATGTTTTGCATTATAACAGCATGTCAGTGCTGTTGAAGACATCCCGTGTCAACTTTTAAAATTAATATTTTAAAGCACATATTCACAGATTCTGGATTTTCTCACTGAAGGAGGAGGTGTGACTTTATGCATTTCTAACCAAGCACCTGATTGTTTTTATTGTGGGAAAAACAAATATCTGAAACACCAGTTACTATTCAAACTAGAGTACATCAAAATGTCTACAAACATGCCAAGAGGAGATCCTGAATATAGTAATTACTTAAACAGGCCAGAACCTGACTGATATTGGATTCTTAAGGTCAACACTGATTCTGATATTTGAGACTAAATGCCTCAATAAATCAACTAAAACTACCAGCTTGCAGTTGTACATGTCAACCAATCAGTCAACATCCAGTTTAGATCAATATCTGTCCAGACACTCGTAATACATGTGAACTTTACTTTATAGGTGAGCGTCCAAAATTAGAGCTGGTATCCGACCAAATGTGAAAAATTGTATAATTTCATGTTTTGTTCCTGAGTTGTGGCATCAAACAATCCACAATGAGGGTCATCTTTCATCCTTTGGATTTACAATATCATCACTTCATTGTGTTATTCCTCTTTAGATATTTGTGGGAAATGTTGTTATAATTAACATGTAAATTCTTGAGTTATGGTCAAAAAGCAGTTTTGTGAGGTCACAGTGACCTTTGACCACCAGATAGTCGTCAGTCTGCCAATGAGTCCAAGTGAACCTTTCTGCCAGATTTGAAGAAATTCCATCCAGGCATTTCTCACATATCGCGTTCACAAGAATGGGACGGACATGAGGTCAGAGCGACCTTTGACCGGCAAAATGGAATCAGTTCATCCTTGAGTCCAAGTGAACATTTGTGCCAAATTTGAAGAAATTCCCTCGAGGCGTTCAAGAGACATTCATGAGAAGGAGACCAACATAATGCTTCCAGCTATGGCTTTTTCCGACACGGAGGCACAATAAAAAACACGACAATACAAACCTGGCAGGGAGAGTTTCTAACAGGGAGTCCTCAAATCTGGTCGTCATCCAACAGTCATAAAACTGTGTATTGAGGTAGGATTTTACAGTTTAAACATAAACTACTAAACAAGACAGTGAGGTTAGATTAAAGGACAAAACAAAAACAACTTAAACAGTGAAACTGAAGTAAAAAGGTGCACTTTATAAAAGACTCCTCGACTGTAATTTCTATTTGTTTGTGTGATATGTCATGCTGGCATTTCGATATGTGTGTCAGTGAGAGTCTAACAGGCAATTACCAACTTAGTGGTCTAGAAACTGGCATGGAAATGTTGTTTTCTTTGTTTTCAATGAGGATTTAAGAGAAGCGTCCGCACAGATCTGTAAGAACTAAACCTTGTTAGTCAAGTCTAAATGTTTTTAGATGAAACCAACGTACTAAAAATGTAAACTATGACCTGTGTTTTAAAAGAGACACAACTAGAAAGCAGCAACCGGGTTCCCAGCCAGCCACACCCATTGGTCTTTATGACTTCCGAACGCCATAAAAATAATTGAAAGGAAAACGAAAGACAAGGAAAACAGAAAAAAAAAAAAGCTGCACACTGCCATTGCGAGGATGCCTGAACAAGTGGCACAACTGTCTGGAGTCATCGGTACCAGGTGTCAATCAACAGGCAGGAGTCGGTCATGTTGGGACAGCTGACCGACTCTCACTTGGTCCGAGGGGAAACAGAAGTACGGAGATTTGCGTCTCAGTCTACTAACTGGTGCCTCGTTGGTCTAATATAAGTTCATTCATCTGGTGCTTCATTCCTGTTTGTGTGTCTTCACAGTTTTGCGTCATGTGTTGCTGGCTAACCTCTAACGCTAAAAGATTAAAGCTGTTATAGAACTAAAGAGTAGATTGGATCTTGGTAGGGATGCAGAATGAGTGTCTTCAAGTTAGTTCAACATCTGCAGGTAAGCACAGACAAAAAAGAAAATAATGGAGATATTTTAAGACTACGTAAAGCAGCATTGAAAGTGATGGGTCAAATCAGGCTGAATCCCTCGGTAGGACAATGAGGCCTCTCAGTAATCCTAAATGTCACACACATGAACACAATTTCTGCAGAAATTTGCCAAAATGTTTCCAGTGATTGCGAGATTTCATCAGATGGTGATTCATCCCAACCATTAGCGTCATCAGCGTTTGACAGGTATGTAAGGATCAGGATCAAGTTCTACCAGTGATTGTTTGAGAAGCCCAGCAGACTGGAAGTTTGTAATTCACTGCATCTGCCACCTTCTTGCAAAACCTTTGATTCTGAAGAAACGACAATGGAACAGACACAGAGGAAGTGAGTAAGAAATGGGGGGTAGAGGTTGATAACCAAACACAGATCATTCCTACGTCACAGGTTTTTTGCCAATTGCAATTCACATAATGCAGCACTGTGGAAATGCTTTAACTCCCTAAACCTCATCCCTGCCGCTGCAATCAGCCCATGCATGACCTCTGGGGACTACAGTATTTCAAATGAAGTTTGGGAGTCGTAGCTGACGACTCAGCACCAAGGTGATGAAAAACTGCGTGATGACATTTATACGCTCTTTGTGAACATTCATTGAATGGCGATGGTAAACGTCCCCGGGGAGTCGTGCTTCTCACTGTACTTCAACCACAGAAGGAGCGGATGTGTGAGGCAGTCAGATATTAACCCAGGCAGCAATTAGGCCTACACGAGAGAAGGCAATGTGGACAGCTCGGCGATCCTTTGGTCTCTGACCAAGGGGGAAGTTAAGATAATAACATAATGCATTCCCAGCAATGAGAGAAAATCAAGTCAGCTGTAGAAAGTCATTTTGGTTTCTTTGGTTTCAATTACCATTCGGTAAAACTGCAATACAAATGTTTTTTGGTCGTACATTAACATGCTTGGGTGGCAAACACGCCATTGAAAATTGCTTAGCAGTTACTGTACATCACTGTACAGACGCAGCAAGTAAAGAACTGCGTCACGCTAGAACACGTGAAAACTATACAGACAGTGACAGAAGACACAACGTTATAATTCATCTCAGCGAGCCAACATGTGGGACAGATCTCACCCTAATCATACTTAAAATGTCATGAAATGGGCTGTAAACTTGAGTGTTAGAGCTTAGTCAAGCACCTTTCTTAAAGTCACAAACAGCGGCACAATGTGGAAAGAAAAGAAAGTTTCCCTCGAGCACACTCTGCAGCAGGCTGTCATTATCGCACGCTTAATGTCCAACTACCATCCTCCTCAAACCTGCACAACATTCGCTTTAATTCAAATAATGAGGCCAATCAGTTCACACCAGCATTTCAAAGAGAAACCACTCGTTATTTGTGATGATCAAAAGGCTGTTTTTATGACTGTGCTGAAACAAAGTGGGTACTGGTTGCCACCGGCTATACGAGAGCACTGCAGAAAAGACTCCATGACTGGAAGACAAGGCAGAGATGTCTATTGATTTAAAGTAAAAGAAGTTTTATAATCCACAGTATATGTCTGCAGCCTAATTAGAATAGAATAGAATAGAATAGAATAGAATAGAATGCTTTTATTGTCATCATACATAAGGTACAACGACATTAAAAGCAATGATGTTTGTGAGGGCGCCTGAGGTACAACTGCACTCAATACAATGTTCTTTTTTCCAAGTCATCAGTGATATTCAGCATCAGAGTGGAAGAATAACATGACTGTGGTCTTTATGCTTCACTAGCAGTCACATGCGCATATCAGTACACAGTGTATACTCAGTATGTACAGACCAGCACTTCGGTCTCACACATAATATTCACACAGAGAGCATGAAGATCAGAATCTCACTCATTCAAGAGGAAGGCTCCCTGCTGGTCCTGAAATACAGTATCTTTCCTCAGCCTGCCCACTGCTTTACCTCCATGTGTCCTGCCCCCTGCAGACACAACAGCACAGCTCACTGTGAGTAATGAAGGCTGACATGAGTGGCCTGATTAAACATTTCTAAATAAAAAAAATAATGTATAGGAAATTTGCTTTTTGCTCTTTTGACATAAATTAATGCATGTTTGACTCATATATCAAAGGGGTTATAGTTTATTAATCAAAAGCATTACCGTACACCAACTGGCTCAGTGTGTTTGCAGTGTGAGTAAACTTTTCGCATTACTCATTTGTGATTATTTGATGATAGAATTTAGAACATGTCATCTTCTCCAACGCTGTTTATGCGACTCGTTTCAGACATTACCGTGCAAGGCGGTTAGCAGTGAGAGCACAGCGCAGCCTGAAACAGACAAAGACCACTCTGTCCCAGTGCAGCCCTGTGGCGGGAAAGCAGGAAGACTCCTGTCATTTCCCTGGATGATGGGAATTCTACAGGTGCGCTCAGTAAGTGAATGACGATGATAAGCAAGAGATTGAACATTTAATTTCAGGCTGGCACGGCCATCAGCGCTCTCTCACGAACGGTGTTAACCCTTTCAGCTGCACCAGCACACGTGCAGGCTATTGATCAGTGCTGAGCCTGTTAGGAGGTCACGAGGTCAGAGCTTTCCAAAATGCTGCACTTTGTCACAAAAATCTATATATTAACCTGAAATTCCTTCGTCGGTACAAGCTTAACAGGCCTCAAACCCTGACACTAAGACTAAAGGTTAAAGTGAAATCTAGTTGAGGGTTGTAAGGAAAGACAACATAAAGCAACAGGAAATCTATCTGAGCCTTTACCCACCACAAATTTAAGTGGAACAGTGGAACTTCATAGTTTGTCACTACAGTTTGATGACTAGTTAGTAGAGCCTGGCTGATACATCAGTCGACCAACATTGGCCTATCACAGATGTATCATTGTTAGCAAATATAGAGCCCATATGTGTTGATACGAAAAATTATGCAAGCAGTCTTCACAGGAAGTTGTGTAATGCTCATGAAATCGATTGCTGGGATTCATCATTTTCACATTTCAAACCTTTGTTAGATGCACTGACTTTATGGTTTGTATGTGCTGTATTTGGTTTACAGTGTTTACATCTGCTCATCACTGTTTGAACACCACACCTAATAGCGCTTAATTTGCTCTTGTGGTTGTAAGATTTCTATTTTACATATTTTGAGTTACACAGATGTGTGCACACAGGACACCATGCAGAGCTGTTACAGCTAAAGGACACTCTTGTGTATGCCCTTCCTTTTCCATCAATTGAATTTCAGATAGTTTAGAAATATTTCCTTAATAAGAATTCTTCGTTATGATATTCCTATAGGAATCAATAAGAAAAGAATAAAAAGAAAAAGGATTAATCTGTGTACAACACTATATTAAATATTCTTAACTGTGTTTTGTTTAACAGGACATTTCCTGTTTTCGGACAGAATGCAACTTTTAAGGACAAAAAAAGAGTCACGCGCAAAATCAATCAAAAATGTATCTAAATATGAGCGATTAGTGTATTTAGAGTTCACAGAATGAGGCTGTTTGAATCCTAGACAAGGATGGATGATTTAGAAAAAGCACAAAAGACAAAAATATTTCAATGTCAAATGTTTATTCAATCAGTCTGACATTTTACATACTTTGAACATTTTGAAAATGTCATATACATTTTGTACAATTTTTTTTTTTAAAAATCACAATATTTTTCTTTCAAATGTTTTAGAAACATTTCCAGGAAATATTTTAAATAAAAAATATCCAGTCTTGCATCAGCTGGTTGAAGATGTGCACCTTGCATTTGTAAATACAATTAAAAATGCAAAAACTGATGGCTGTTCAAAAACAAAGTTAAAAAACACACAATAATTTTTAGAATGTTCTACATCAAACCTGTAAATGAAACCAGTGAAATATTCAGTGTAGTCTCCTATCCGTCCTACTTTATCTCATCCTCCATGCACGCTGTCATGCACTCATCTGTAAATTACCCTTTGACACTCTCTCAGCTCCCCTTTGTAAAATACTCTTATTGATGGGATGTATAGAGGAGAGTGTGACATTCTTTCGAGGATTACTAAACCAGCAAGAACGTGTTGTGGGATTATCCTGGCGGCCACCCGTGGTCTTCAGCAGACATAAAGGTATCATCAGAATGATAAAAGACAGCCAGGAGGTCCAGAAGCCAAAGGTAGAATGGTCACATAAAGACGCTGAACAGGTCGCCATAGGTTCATTACTGTCAGTGTGAAGACACACTGCGATGACCTCAGGACCTAAAGCTGGTTGCAGAGGTGAAGAAGTGAAGACAGTGAGAGAAAACATAATCCTATTAACGCTCTGGAAAACACGCATCAGGTAGTTTGGGCCACAGAACATCTACAGAATAAAAGGGCAGATGAAAACAAGGAAAAAAGGGGGGGAGGTCAAATTAGCTTTCGCAAAATGCTGGTTTAGAAAGCGGAAATGAAAGAGGCAGCGTATAGTTTATTTGCATAATGAAAAGAGGGAGGAAAACATCAGCAAGGCATGATGAATGAGCAGCAACAAAGCAGCTTTGGTTCCTCGTTGGTGACACCCTGTTTTCTGGGTGTAGCATGTTGTCCCTCAGTAGTTGTTACTCTTGCTTCAGTCTCACACGGAGCTGAGGCCGAGGGGCTTGGCAGGCAATTTCAAGCTAAGGGCGAAGTCGAACTCTTGAGAAATTGCTTCCATATTCCTGGTCCAGATCCTCTACCATGTTCTCCAAGTCATTAGCGGAAACCTCATCGGATCCCGAGAAAGCACCGAGGGAGCAAAGCGCCTGTTATCACATGACTGCTAACGTATTCAGGCAAAGTCTTTACGCCAGCACAGAAGGTAGCGCGCAACCTGCGGAGTTCTGGGAAAAGATGGCGTCATTAATTGCTTGTGTTTTGATTTATTGAAGACGAGAGGCAAACAGAAAGTCTCCGAGAGCTGTGGCAGGTAATTGTCACAGTTAAAGCAAACCAGATGGTAGTAACATTTCATAAATTTGCTTTCACAATTCAGAGGAAAATTCTGGCATCAAATCTGGGGACACCTCTGACATACTGTTGCCTGGTTGTCACTGTTTTGGTTGTGTGTATCGCTACGAGGCAGAGCGGGCCAAAAGGAGCTTGCCACATAGCTAGATAGAGATCAAGAGAACCTGTCTATCAGTAAGTATTTTATGTTCGTGATCAGTCCTGACTTCCATGTATTTCTTGAAAAAGCAGAAACAAGCCAAGAAGACAAAGAAGCAAAGTCCGAAGGGAACAGAGCAGTGCAAAAGTTGAAGGGTAAAACATGATTCGCACTAATGAAACAAACATCGCATTTAAATTGAATATTTTACCCCTCGATGTGGAGCTGTACTTTGGGAAATACAGTTATATAGTAATATATTTATATGAACCAAGACTGAATTACATTAAAGTGTATTCCGGCCTTGAAGCTCGTGTTATTTGTTTAGAGAGAGAGAGAGAGACAAAAAAAAGTGTGAGCAGCAAATGAAATCTGATAGAATGCAGAAGTGAGGATGCAAATGAGAGAAGAAGAATTGCATTCATGGGGTTCAAAAGTTATTGATTTTATTGCTTAGCTGAACAGAGCAACACTCCACGCTGCAGTAATTTTCTGTTATTTATTTGCCAGACAACACCCAAATGTAAGCTGAGGGAGGATATTCCGAGGTTAAGATCTAAATGAGGTGTCACTACAACAAATGCAGCAGACATTAAATAAATGAAACATAGTCAAGTATATACTGTATATATATTATGAGCGGGGTGTGTGTGCATGCGTGCGTATATATACTATGGTTTAAAAATAAAGTCCAAGCACTCTGCAATCCTAAAAGGCAGCATGCTATTGCAGTTCAACAACATGAGAAAGCACGCAGCTGCTGAATGTGGAAAGATGCCACAACATTGTATGTTTGAACCAGATGTTCAGGAGGCACCTTCGGTAAACAGTAAAAATGTATTCTAAATGTCACTCTACAGAATTTAACAAATATAAATTCTAAAAAAGTCATTTGAGGTTCTTTTTGTTTGTTAGTTTTGTTATTGCAAAGCACAATTCCAAAACCCTCAAATATGTCCCTTAGGTGGAGACGGCGGCTATATTTTAGCATCTCGAGACAAGCATCACATCTAAGACCAATGTTGAGGTCAAAGGCAGGAGGAGGAGTACTGCACGTCATTAAAAAGCAATCCAATCAGTACCGTAAGACGAATAGAAACTATTAATTATCCAGAAATGCCCGTGTGTGGGTTTTTTGTTTCACACCAACGATGACGACAAAATGATGATTCAGTCGTCGTTAATGGAAGGACATGGAAGGAATGGGGGATAAAAATCCAGTAAGGCACGCCACATCTGTTACTGAAGTGGTTTTTCAGAACTTTGAGAACAGTAAATGGGGAAAAAAAAAAAATCATGAATGAAATTTGAGGGAAAAGTGAAAAATGTTCCAGAAAGTCATAAAAGTCAAAGCTTGAAAGGATTTCCTTGCATTGTTGTTAAAATCTGGTTTTTGGTCACATTAAAGAGCTTATTGCTTAACTGACAAAAGCTGGACAGATTGTGTGTCATGTTGACACCATGTGAATATGGGCTACTTGAAAATCTGCAATCTATATATCTCCTCCTCTATTACACTTTCCCGTCCAAACTCCTCCCCATGGTAAGTTGGATAATGTGATCATCTAAGGAGAAGTGGTGGCTAGAACAACCGTGAGTGCAAGTGTGGGGTTACGATAATTTGCTTTGGATATCTGACTAACCTGCAGTGTTATTGCTCTTGAGATGACTCTGGGCTCAGAGGGCGAAGCGACCTTCTCTTCCGTCTCGGTTGTTCGTCCTCATCATCGGAAAAAGTCGGGTCAATAGAGATGCCCTGGCACTCCAAATTACGACCTGCATACAATACAAACATGTACACACAGATGCACAGGCAAAGAAATGGTCAGAAAACTACCTTTGATGTAATAAATCTTTCTACGTCTTTACTATGTGCTTGCCGGCCCATTATAATTTGCAATGTCATTCATACAAGGCAGAACAATCACCCATGTCTACTGTAAATAAAAGGCATTAGATTCTATTCACATTTCTTTACAATAACCTTCAACTGTTCAACTGCAAGTTCCTAAACTGCCTCTAAATAAATGCCTCTGAGCGGCTGTGTGCTGATGTCTCGTCTTGTTCCAAATTTTTGGGATTACTTGGGTGGTTTCATTTCAGAAGCCCAAATTCTTTGTCGCTTAAACCGATTCTCCATCAGTGTCATTTGTGGCACATTAGTGGCAGTTTCAGGACATATCACCTCAGATAACCTTTGTCAACCCAGGACAACTCCACACCTCCAGTCCCGTGACCTTTATCGGTAATAGAGATCTGGCATTCCACACAAGCCCGATCGCACTCGGATACAACCATTTATAAGACAAACACACCTGTTTGCCCTTTAACTGTTGCTGCTAGCCTATTCGAATTCAAAGATTGACAGATTGAGCAGTTGTGTTAGATCAAAGAAAAGCTCGAGCCGGGCTGATTGGAAGATAACGTGTATAAATGCTACTGTAGATACAGTATTCACAGCTAAATGAAGGAAGCATGTATCTCACTTCTTTCATGTCCGACTCTTTTTCCTCTCAGACACTCTCTCATCCCCTGAATGACGCTGCCTTTCCTCTCTCCATTCATTTTTCTTCCCTCTATATCTCTCTTATCTTCAAGTCACCCCATTGTGAGTGATGCTTCCTATGTTGTCACTATCAGATGCTAAACCTGGAGGGAGCAGGTCACAGAGAGCCTCCAGGTCTGCTTAACATGAAAACACAGCCCGGGGCACGAAGGTCAGCAGGGGCCAAGGATGTCAAAGGGGAAACGGGTAGCCCACTGTGTTTGTAAAGCTTGGCAGGATTTCTAGATGCAAATAAAACATCAGTCTGCTGTGGTTCTGTGTGTCTGATCTGAGTCAAGCTTTGCAAAAGCCAAATGGGTGGGGACTTAAATCAAGCACAGCAATGTCAGAGACGTGCTCCACTGCTTGCGTGTTTACTGAATTCGCAAACACAGACGACTGTGGTGGTGCATGCTGTATGTTTCGCGTCGTCAGGGTATTGTAAAGATGGCTGTGAATTAAGTGGTTGCTGGAGTTATCAGACTCAGGCTGCATAATATAAACAAGGAGTAACAATACATTAGGCAGCCATTAGCATATTAGCAGCCACCGACATGAATATATGGCTTGTGTCCACCACTGTGCGTCTGGCCAAGAGAGAAACGCCCAGAGACTGATTTGTTGGACATCTGAACTAAATACTACAACACACCCATAATGTTAAAAAGCTTAGAATACAGAGATAATAGGGGAACGAATTCATCACAGCACAAAGATAAGTGCCAGGTGATTTCACTGACAAGCTGAAAACACAAGAAAGCAATTGTAAAAAGCCTTTTGGGCTGCAAACAACTAAGTGGTGTGAGCCAAGTCCTATACAGGATAATCTACAAACACCATCCATCTTCACAGAGGCCAGGTTGGGAGAGGGTGCACGGAGGGGAGGGAGTGCATACATGTGTGTGAGAGTGAGGGGGGAAAGTGCAGAAAATAAGAGCCAAACAACACAACCTGCTGAAGTCACCACCAGCATCACTGCATGTTGCAACTGTATTATTCTCTCGGGGTGATTGGAGCTTGGCTCTGAACACAACCACGGCCATTGAGAGAGCGATCAGTGGGTTATCCCAGCAGATTGCAGCACTGTAGTACGGGGGGGTATGACTCAGCAGATGTGACATCAGAGGCCTGCTCTGCGTGATGCAGGAAGGGGAAGACCACCTCACTGCCCGCCGTGTTGAAGCAATCACAGCAGACTTTGCTGAGTGGGTTTATCACTCACTGACAAGTGTTTCCCAGAACCCAGCTACTCCAGGGTATATTCTCTGTTTATGTGTGCTTTCAAGTTTACGCTCAAACCCCCTGCTTACATATTCAATTACATTCAACTGTCAAGTTTATTGGACAGTAAAATCAGTTAGAGGAAAGTTAAAACTCAAGAGTTTCACTTAGAGTCTGCATCATGACTGAATCACATCGTGACCTATGACATCACAAAGAGTACCGGGAATGAGAGAAAAGTTGCCATATTTCATACATGCACACCCTGCTCCACCAAGACATGGTTCATGTGGAAGTACGTGGATCTTGGACCACAGTGTGTGTGTGTATGGTGGGGCAGTTTAAGCATTGAATCAGGGTCAGTATAATTCACGAAAAAAGACTCTTTCATGTCCAAGTAAAACCAGATTTCTACAAAGTAACGTCAATGAATTAAAAATATAAAACCCAAAATGAGTGACTGCATATTCAGCCCCTTCAAGTCAGTATTTAGTAGATGCACCGCTGGCTGCAATTACAGCAGTGAGCCTGTGTGGATGGGTCTCAATCAGCCTGAACATCTGGACACTGCAATTTCTGCCCATTCTTCTTTGCAAAACTGCTCAAGTTCTGTAAAGTTGCACAGGGATCATGAATAAAGAGCCCTTTTCAAGTCTCAATTGGATTCAGATCTGGGCTCTGACTTCAGAACATTCACCTTGTTGTCTTTAAACCATTTCTCTGAAGCTTTGGCTGTATGCTTTGGATCCTTGCCTTGCTTGAAAACAAAGCTTCTACCACGTCACAGGTCCTTAGCAGGCTGTATCAGGTTGTCCTTTAGCTATTCCAAATGCTCTGTGGAATTTTATCTTCTATCTTTACAAGGCATCCAGGATTTACTCCATCCCATCATCATAATGCTGCCACCTCCATGCATAAGATTAGAACTTAATTTTGTTTTATTTTTCTGATTATTCTGATCATTCATTCTGCATAGACAAATAAAGGGGTATTTAAGCGCCTTATTGGAAAGTTTGCCTTCATAAACATGTACACGTGCGACACACACAAACACACAAACACACCTGTGAGAAGGAGAGTTGGTTCCTGAGATGGATGGATGCTCTGAACCGTCTCCTCTCTTCTGTCCTGGCTCCCTTCTTCATCTTGACTTGCATCACTGCCACCGATAGAAATCAGACACATTTGAGAGAAGAGAAAGTGTTTTATTAACAAATATTAGTGTGTGAAGGAGAGCATGGAAAAAGGGACTAAAAACAAATTCAGTGAGTGAACGTGCTTTAGAAAACGCAGCTTCTCATTTTCCTGTGCTTTTAGGTAACCATCTTTCAGTATTTAACATTATTGACCACAAGAGACACTGGCAAAGCCAGGCATATGAGCCGGAATTATGACTAAGATCTTCCATTTATACTGTAAAGAAAGAAGTCAGCCACCCTTTGTGATCTGCAGAAGCCAGAGGTGTGGCAAACACATACGCAGATCTGACATCACTGCTTGACCCGCTTGGAAACAAAACTGGCAAGTGTGCAGCTAAAACGGACACCAGAATATGTTAATTTATTCTATGTTTTCCCACAGTTGAGTGCTTGTAATAAAATGTTAATCCCTCAGTTACACCCACTGGTGTGAAAGATAAAGCCAAAGAATGCAGTTCAAAATGTAACACTGTCAACTGCTTTAGCATTTTTCATTTCATTTACATCAGTTTTCAAACACAAATGCAATCCCCTAATGGTGCCAGCTTCTGAAACGAGAACATTTGCTGCCTTTCTTTGTCTTACATTAGAGTAAACTGAAAATTTTGGGTTTTCTGGAAAGACAAACAAAAACAGTCTCATGACATCACCTCAAGCTCTAGGCAATTCAAATGGGTATTTTCACAGTTTTATTATTGCTTTATGGACCAAGTAATGACATGATTGATCAACAACATAATGGACAGATTACTTTGGAATATTTGACAAAAATCCCCCGACGCCTTGGCCGACTCAGTTCTGTATGTCTATGCTTCACAACGGTAGATTTATACAAAGGTGAATCATGTGTGTTAAAAAGCATTAAGAACATATATATTTTTAACATGTTTCCTGCCTGAATGAAGCAAAGTCAGTCAGTTACAACGCATAAGCACAAAACCAGAGCAAACCATGTAAAATAAGCCTGCTGACCTCGGTAGTTCCTTATCTCCCTGCTGGTCATCGGTCTGGTGGAGCTGACGGACAGCATCCTGCAGGCCTCTGATCTTGGCCTTCTTCTCATTTAGCACCATGACAAAACGTGAATACAGCTCCTTCTCTAAAAGCTCCTTATCCTGAACCTGCTGCTGCAGCCTGGAGGGGAAAACACAAGAGCACACATACACAGACAGATCAAAAAACGTATAAAACATGTTTTAAAAGGGAGGATTCTTGTTTTCTGCCTTCTGACAATAATTTGCTGAAACGGTGCTGATGCCTAGACCTTGTGTGACCCTAATCCTTCGTCTCTGGCGAGGCCCCATTCATTGATGGAGCAATCAAGAAGCAGATCAACAATAGCACAAACAATGCACCAGGCATCCATAAAACGAAGAACATACAAATGAATCATTTAAAGTTAGTTCCCAGAAATCACAAGACCAGCTTGCTGCACTGGGTGGGACCCAGAATATTCTCAAATGGGTGACCAGTGATGATGTCATACTGGGGGATTGTGCATATAAACAGCTGGCAACACCACTTAAAAAGCAAATAGAGTTTGCATGCAAACAAGACAATCAACAACTAAATACCATTTCTGGAAATCTTAAGAAAATTATTAGATTTTGTTGGGGTATTTCCCTCCTCATCCTTACTCTGTGAGTATTCGTTGGTGATCCTGTTTCAGTCTACGGTTCTCCTCCAACAACTGGGAGTTTTCAGTCTCCAGATTTCTGCTGTGCTTTAGGGACTGGCTGATCATCTCCCGGGTCAGCTCTAGAGGGTCGGGAGACGGCTGGAGATCCACAGAGCCCAAGTGCACCTGAAGCAAGCAAGGAAAGAAGAAGAGGGGTAACAGATGAGAAAAATGAGAGGGTAAGATTAAATATGAATGAACTTCTATGTCACAATCAGCAGGAAATAAAGTTATGCAGGCAGTCTGGCTTCATTATTCGTGCAGCTGAGAAACTCAGCAATATGGGACAACCTCACTATTCAATCTTTCTTCATTGCACTGACAGGTAGAGGCAGTTCATCTGTCATGGTAAGCATACCCTCTGGGTGCCTCCCTTTAAACATGCCTGACTGACAAGTGGACAGATTTAAGACCTCATTCTCTGAGCCGCCCTCAGAGTATCTGGGAATCCTCTCAGAAGAGATGGAGGAAGTTTACTGCAGCACATCTGGCATCATATTCCTGACATGAGCTACATACTACAAATGATGCATACGCTAATAAATTCAATCTGATAAACTAACAGTCTCGTCTTGCTTCCAAAATCAGCTCCCAGTGAAAAGTGAGTAAGCATTTGCACCTTCCCTCCATCCCAAAATGTTCAGCAATACAGAGGTGCAACAAATATTACACAGTATCTCCTTTGAAGTGGGAGGCTTTTTTAGGATGATGAGGTGTTTTCCTCTGTCTGGGAGAAACACAGGATGAATTCATTGGTCACAAGTAAAGTACGCAAGTGAGAACTAAGTTTCCTGTTCTGTTGATTCTCCACGATGGCTCTTTGGAATCGCAGGCAGGCTTGAGATGTAATAAAACATTCCTCATTTGGTTTGCAGCTTGGCACCAAGTCACAGAGCAGGGCTGAGGCGTTGCAGCTGTCGACAGAAAAATGCAAAAATTTCTAACATTTCCTTGATGTGTAAAATTTTCTAAATTCCACTGTAGACCTACAATTTATATCGGAAAAACTGACCTTAATTTACAGCAAACGGCTATAATTAAATACAGAAATTCGACCAAGAGACAGAAACCTCGTCCGACTGGGTGTGTGTCAAATAGCTGCACTATCTTTCTTGTTGCCTTGGAGATTCTTCTATTGACACACACCGAAGTACTGCTCATGATGCACTCAAAAACCAGAAGGTGATAAGGTGCTAAATCTTCACTGGGCTGCGTTGAGGTCACAGACCCACTGTAATAAAGCCGCCATCTTCAAAAGCTCTCATAAAATACTTGTCATTTTTTGTCCTGTGCTGACGCTGTCCTGGCAGGCCACACACCTGTTTCCCCTCTGCTGGTGAACCTGAACATGTTTCACTGGATGAACATTTGCCTCCCATTGCTCCGACAGATCTGCATCTTTACAATCTCTGTTCTTTGGTATCATTCCCTCAATTTTTTCCTCCCTTTTCCTTATCACTTTGTCTCTCACAATGCAACCTTTTCTGCAATGTTTTGAGCAAGAAATACTGGACTTCTATTAATGAAATGTACAGCAACACTAACTCTATTACACCAAATCACAACAATCGTTCCATGACTTTTCATTTAGCACCACCATTCTTTTTAGTTAGACATTTATAAACAAGTACCTGAAAAAGTAAAGGGTATTTTCATCAGCCTCAGCTGTACTTTGTGCTTCGTGGGTCTGGGAACTAGAAATTATCCGCTTCCCTGTCAAATACCAAACACAGAAAAGCAACAAAATTGTTCTATTTTTGTGTTTTTTCAACGTCCATTAACACTGAAAATCAAAGTAACAGAGAAAAACACAGCTTTTTTTTTTTAGGTTTGGCATAATCTAATTTTTTGCTTCTCTGTTTTTAACCAAAACCAAAAAAACAAAACAATAAATGTTTTATTTTTTCCCCGGCTCCCAGTATTATTGTAAATCCAGTGAAGCAAATTAGAAAAGGGCTTTTTTTCCGTTGGTGCAATTTTCATTTGTCAATTTTCCATTCCAATTCAGCAACCCTTTCATCCACAGCTGTTATAGCATGCACATAAAACTTTGTTCCTTGGCATACCTTGGCATGATAACGTGCTAAGCTAAGATGGTATACACTGCTAAACATCAGCATTTGAAAATTAGCATCTTGCTAAAAGTGCCATGGACCCATTCACACCTTTAGTCTTGTTTGCATGTTGTCTTCTCATCTGTTTTTGTTCATTTGTTGGCAAAAGCAGTAAAAAAAAAGACAGGAAATGCATAAAAGGGAGCAGGGGAATGACACGCAGCAAATAATCCAGCGAGGAATCAAATCAGGGACTCACTGCTCAGGATATCTTGTGTTATGTGTCCTAACACTCGCTTATTGGGTCGTCTGTTCTTGTTCTCTTTTAGTGCTTTACACTAGAATCCGTCAATACCTTACCACCCTCTGAAATTAGCAAAAAACTTGTGATGAGCACAGGTCTCACACACTCATGTGGTTTTATTTAGAGTAGTCTTGTGTAGCCAGACCGTTCTCTAGAGCTGACCTGACGCTGTGTAGAATGGTCTGACAACACCTCAGTAACCCATTTCATCCTGGGAAGTGAAGAGAATGCTGTGACAGTGTTCATTTCAAATAGCAAATGGGGAATAGTGTTGGTCAAACATTTACATAGAGAACACTAACATTAAAGGGGCTAATTCACGGGGGAAAAACGCAGAGTTGCTTTATTACATGATGCAAACCTTAAGCAAAACGCGACATCTTTAGGTTTTAGAAAGGTAGGTTGTTGTTTCCCATCATGAAAGGGATTTTGAAAATCACAGATCAAAAAAAATGTGAATTTATTAACATTAATTTAGTGTAGATATACTTTTAAAAAATACTGACCCCATTCAGTATTCACAGCCAATACGATAGAATAAGAAATTGTACATTCAAACCCTGCAAGTTTTCTAGAACATATAAGCTCACTTGTTTCAGTGCCCACGCTGCCAGTTCTCAGACTGATCACACCAAGGAAATCAGTCATTTAACCAAAGCCAGCTTAATGGGATCAGGACATAGAGGAGACCACCCGGGCTCTTAGAAGGATGAGAGTCCCAAGGACTCATAAAAAATCTAGAGTAACATTAGGTTGTCACTGTGATCCAGTGCAGGCTCCTCTCATGGAGGGAATTTGTGTGACAATGAGACTTATAAGTCATCAACAAGTTGGCACAGCTGTAATTTAGTGGTTGTGCAATATGGTCCTCCATTAATATGAAACAGTGACACTAATGTAGGTAGAGCTCAGCGAGAACAGCTGATGTTTGTCTTCGTCGTGACTGCGGATTTGAATGGTGTGCAAGCGAACGTGTCAGTGGCCTACATATTAACGTCTATAGACACACGTGTCGAGCTGCACAGTTTGTGAGGAGTGATGACTGTGAAAGCTTTGATCTTCCTTCAAACCTCCCTTCCATCTTTTCCTGAAACTCCTGCTCTACTTCTTGCTATCTGCTTCTTAAATCGCAGCAGAGGAAAGCCATTTGGCAATAAATCAGCCACGTGACAATGGATAATGTGAAGGCTTTGAACTCTCTGACATGCTGAGTACACTAATATTTCCACACTTCCAAGAATGCCGTAATGCCCTACCTTTACTGTAGTAGTGTCAAGCCATAATAATGACTTGGAGTTTGTAAAACTTTGTCAACGAGGTCACTGACACTTTTTTCGAGACCATAAATCTACTTGTCCAGCATGTTAACATGGTATTACCAGTTTAAGACACTAGATACAAGCATCTAAACTCCTGGAAACCCGACCTTTATTTACGGGATTAACACTGGAAATGGAGCTCCGCTGCTGTTTATTTATTCAGGTCCCTGTTTTAAATACCAAAGGTTGTAGGTTTCACTGTCTTTACTTTCAGGTTTTCCGAGACGACCCACTGCAGTAAACACATGGACAAAAGTTTACCTTTGCTGCATGAAAAGAGGAAGGATTGCACCAGACAAGGTATAAATTTGAGAATGCAGGCCAGCACCATGCTCATTTCTGTACAGCACTGACAGATAGATGTAATTAAAGTTAATTGTTAAAAGACAGAGAAGAGCCTTCTTTATTTTCTCAAGTTTCTGCTTCTCTCTTGAGACACAAAGATAAAGTTAAAGGTCAGGCTGCACGCTGTTACCAACTTCTGCCAAGGTGTGGGAGGTCAGACTGTTTGTCTGTGATGCACAACCCACTGCCACATTTTTCTACTGCGTTACTCGACTGAAACAACGATAAAATAGGGAAAATGTTCACAAAACTTGTTTCAATCTCTAACAGCATGAGACATATGACGTGTAACACAGCGGTGGGCGAATCTTTTGACAATCAAAAGATCTGCATCTGTTTGCAACAAGGGCAGACACACAAGGATAAGACCACTAAAAAAGATGAGAAGCTTCCTACATCTCTGTTTCATCTTAGGTAGAGTTCATGAGTTCGCAAAACCCCGAACAATCGGACATCCTCTACACCCACCTTTAGCCAAATTTGTGAATGTAAAATCTTCTTCTCAGGATACATTTGTCAAAGATTAAACCGTGGTCCAGTGTGTGTGGTCCAACCGTTTGTTTGTGTGTGTGTGTGTGTCTCCAGACAGTCAGCCCGACCGTAAGGTCAAACGTTGACGTAGGTGTGGAGGACAAAGCCAAAAGAACACAGTCCCAGTGAAAATGATACCATAACACACTGTGGGCACAGAGGACACAAAGCTCCTCTTATCACACCATCCAACACACTGCTGGAGATCTAAACCACCATTTAGTTCCAAGGATCAGAGGATAATGACCTCCTTGAATCAACAATCGGTGATCGGTGATATAAACAGACATTATATTAAGTCCAAGAATTAAAATTTCAATCATATCCAATTTTGTTATTTACTGAAACGATAAAATGCAGTACCTGGACAATGTCCTTACACCCTAACGTTTACAATATGATTAAAATATAATCAGCATGTCAGTGGTCAAACTATTTTTTCCTCATTTTCTATCTCAAAATAACGATTGTGTCTAAGGGAACTGGGAAGTGAGTGGGTGAGCGCTGTGTGCATGATGACAAAGAGACAGTATTCAAGGGTGGGCACGGGTGCCCAGTATGGGAAGTGTGGGC